TGAACATCCAAAGCAAGCGGCCTCTGATTGATTGGAATATAAGCAAGACTGCCCATACTAGCTGACTTCCTACTCAAAGCATCAGCCACCACATTGGCCTTCCCCGGATGGTATAAAATGGTGACATCATAGTCCTTCAACAACTCCAACCACCTCCTCTGCCTCAAATTCAACTCCTTTTGCTTGAACAAATACTGAAGACTCTTGTGGTCAGTGAACACCTCACATGCCACGCCATACAAATAGTGCCTCCAAATCTTCAAGGCATAAACAATAGATGCCAAAATCATGCATTGGATAGTTCTTCTCATGAATCTTAAACTGCCTCAAAGCATAGGCAATAACCTTGCCATCCTGCATCAACACTGCACCAAGCCCAATACGGGAAGCATCACAATAAACTGTATAAGGCCCTGATCCTGTGGGCAAAACCAACACCGGTGCCATAGTCGGAGCTGTCTTGAGCTTCTGAAAGCTCACCTCACACTCGTCCGACCATCTGAACTGGGCACCCTTCTGGGTCAACCTGGTCATCAGAGCTGCAATAGACGAAAACCCCTCCACAAACCGATGGTAGTAGCTTGCCAATCCCAAGAAACTCCGATTCTCCGTAGCTGATGCTGGTCTAGGCTAGTTCTTGACTAACTCAATCTTCTTCGGGTCCACCTGAATACCCTCTGCTGATACAACGTGACCCAGAAATGCTACTGAACTCAGCCAGAACTCACACTTGGAGAACTTGGCATATAACTGACTATCCCTCAGAGTTTGAAGAACCACTCTAAGGTGCTGCTCGTGCTCCTCCTGGCTGCGGGAGTATACCAAAATATCATCAATGAAGACTATCACGAACATGTCCAAATATAGCCTGAACACTCGGTTCATCAACTCCATAAATGCTGCTGGGGCATTGGTCAACCCAAATGACGTGACCAAGAACTCATAATGCCCATACCGAGTACGGAAAGCTATCTTAGGGACATCGGATGCCCTAATCCTCAACTGATGGTAGCCAGATCGCAAGTCAATCTTGGAGAATACCCTGGCACCCTGAAGCTGGTCGAACAAATCATCAATCCTCGGCAGTGGATACTTATTCTTAATCGTTACCATGTTCAATTGCCGGTAATCTATGCATATCCTCATCGATCCATCCTTCTTCTTGACATATAACACTGGCGCGCCCCAAGGCGAAACACTAGGTTTAATGAAGCCCTTCTCTAGCAAATCCTGCAACTGGTCCTTTAACTCCGTCAGCTCAGGCGGGGCCATACGATATGGCGGGATTGTCACGACCCCAGTTCACCCTCCATGAACATGTCGTGATGGCACCTAGTTCCTACAACTAGGTAAGCCTAACAGTGCGGAATAACAAATTAACATTTGCGGAATAATTAACTAAAACTGAACATACGGAAATAACAACTGTATATAAGGCCACTCGGCCTATACAACTCAAAAAAATATGCGGAAGTCTACAACTAAATCCCAAAACCCGAAAACTCACGGGAAACACAGGCTAATAGAATGTAGTAATCTGCTCTCTCTACACCAGAATGTCTAAACAACACGAAAGGAAAGAAAGGAACTATCTGCTAAAGCCAGAATAGAGTAGAGACTCCTGGTCTGCGAACGTAGCAGATACCTCAAGTCTCATCTAGGACTCTCCACCACGAGGATGATATGCCTGGGAGGAAGTACCTGGATCTGCATATGAAAAAAAAACATGCGCAGAAGAGGCGTGAGTACACCACAACGGTACTCAGTAAGTGCCAAGCCTAACCTCGGTTGGGTAGTGACGAGGAAGGTCAGGGCCCTACTGAGCTAAAACATAATAAATAATGATATAACGGAAACAGTTTAAATAAAGTCTACAACGAGAAACTAAACCACGTAAATAAGGAAGAGCAGTAATAGAAAGCCAAGGTAACAATACAAGGAAGAACTGCCCTCCACAAGGAATAATAGCCGGGGATCTCTTGGTATCCCGAGGATCTCTTGGTATCCTCATCAAATACACGGGGGATCTCTCGGTATCCCGAGGATCTCTTGGTATCCTCAATAAGTAAGCCGGGGATCTCTTGGTATCCCGAGGATCTCTTGGTATCCTCAATAAGTAAATCGGGGATCTCTTGGTATCCCAATATATATAGAAACACATGTGCCAGGGATCTCTTGGTATCCCGCACCCTCAGTCCAAAATATCTCAAGTACAGGTGGATCTCCCGGGAAGCCGTCCCGTAGTCCCAAATTAAAACACACAACAACAACAACTCATAATCTCAGGATAATGCTAAAAAATCAGGACAAGAAATAGTAACTTCTAGCCTAACATGCTTCACAGCTAAAACAAATAAGCAAGTAAGCCAGCTAAACATGAATCTCTAAGCTAGCACAGGTATAAACTTACTGTCTAAAATGAACAGGTAAACAGGAAATCTCAATTTAAATACTTCAAGTGGAAACGGGTTTACAATAATTAGCTCAAGTACGCGCTCGTCACCTCACGTACGGGGCATTCAAATATTCAAGATCATGTCCTAAGGGGAAAGGTCCCCCACACAAGGTTAGACAAGCCACTTACCTCGAACCGGCTCAATATCAACTAGAAACCATACTCTTGCCACGAGTATCCGACTCCAAATGGCCCAAATCTATTCAATGCAATTACACATTGTAAATAACATCGCAAACACCTGGTTTTGCTATTAAATTCAAAGTTACGGCGTGAAATTAGGTGAAATGACCAAAATGCCCTTCAGGCCAATGCCTCAGAATTGAATAATTTTCATATTTTCAGAACTCTCGTACTCTCACGAGTCTAACCATATAAAAATCTCCCAAATCGGAGGTCAAATGCTCACTCAAAACCTAATAGTTTGGCCTAAGAAGTTTTAACCAAATTCTTAAAATTTTAATCCCAAATTCGAATTTTTAATGATGGATTTAACTACAAAATGATGAAATATAACTAGAAGGGATTAAGAAAACGTTACCCAATGATCTTCACTTCAAAACCCACTCAAAATCTCCCTCTCCCGAGCTCTCAATTGATTTTTGTAACTTATGAACTCAAACCCTCGAAATTTCTATTTATGCCCAGGGATATCCGCTTCTGCGGACAAGGGACCGCTTCTGCGGTCCCGCTTCAACGGAAACCAAGCCGCTTCTGCGGTTTTCACTAAAGGGAACAGGGCCGCATCTGCGATATCTAGGCCGCTTCTGCGGCTCCGCTTCTGCGATGCCTAAGCCGCTTCTGCGGCTCCGCTTTTGCGGAAATGGCAACGCTTCTGCGGTTTCTGAGGAAAAAGGAGACAAGCCGCTTCTGCGGCCACACAGTCGCTTCTGCGGCCACACAGCGCTTCTGCAGCGCCGCATCTGCGGTTCCCAAGCCGCAGATGCGAAAATACCATAAGAGGGACATTCAGCTGCTGCTATAACTTCAAAATTCATCCGTTAACCACCCGAAATCATACCGAGTCCCCTGGGACCTCAACCAAAAGCACCAATACCACCTAATACCTTATTCAAACTTGTACCAATCTTAAAAACACCTAAAACAACGCCGGAAACCCGAATTAATCAAGGATTCAAGCCTAAGAACTTCAAATTCCAACAAAACACGCTTTCGATCAAAAACCTACCCGAACCTCATCCGAATGACCTGAAATTTTGCACACACATCCCAATGACATGACGGAACTACTGTAACTTCCGGAATTCCAATCCGACCCTCGGATCAAAAACTCACTATCGGACCGGAAACTTATAAAAGTCAAACTTCGGCATTTCAAGCCTAAATGAGATACGGACTTCCAAAATACATTCCGAACACGCTCCCAACCCTGAAATCACCTAACGGAGCTAACAGAACCATCGGATTTCCATTCCAAGGTCATCTTCACACTGTTCTGACTACGGACCACTTTTCAATACTTAAGCTCTCGTTCAGGGACTAAGTGTCCCAATGCTCTCCGAAACTCAACACCGAATGTCCCCGCAAACCAAAATAGCAGAAATGAACTTAGGGGAAGCAGTTAATGGGGGATCGGGGCGTAAATTCTTGAGACGACCGGCCGGGTCGTCACATCCTCCTACACTTAAACATTCGTTCGTCCTCAAACGAGCATAGAGAACATACCTTAAGTAGTGAAAAGATGAGGGTAACTACTGCGCATATCCTGCTCGGTCTCCCAAGTTGCCTCCTCGGCCGGCTGACCCCGCCACTGAACCTTCACTGAAGCTATGTTCTTTGACCTCAACTTCCTGATCTGCCTGTCCAATATAGCCACTGGCTCCTCAACATAGGATAGATCCTTGTCCAACTAGACTGAACTGAAATCCAACACGTGCGACGGATCACCGTGATACCTCCGGAGCATCGAAACATGAAATACCGGATGAACTCCGGCCAAACTGGGAGGTAAGGCAAGCTCGTAAGCAACCTCCCTAACTCGCCTCAAGATCTCAAAAGGGCCAATAAATCTCGGACTCAACTTTCCTTTCTTCCCAAACCTCATAACGCCTTTCATAGGCGAGACCCGAAGCAGAACCCGCTCACCGACCATATATGAAACATCACGAACCTTCCTGTCCACGTAACTCTTCTGTCTGAACTGGGCTGTACGGAGTCTATCCTGAATCGTCTTAACCTTCTCCAATGCATCCTGTACTAACTCTGTTCCCAATAGCCTGGCCTCACCCGGCTCAAACCAACCCACGGGGGATCTACACCCCCTGCCATATAAAGCCTCATACGGCGCCATCTGAATGCTGGACTGATAACTATTGTTGTAAGCAAACTCCGCCAGTGGCAAGAAATGATCCCAAGACCCTCCAAACTCAATCACACACGCACGAAGCATATCCTCAAGAATCTGAATAGTGCGTTCGGACTGTCCGTCCGTCTAAGGGTGAAATGTTGTGCTCTACTCCACCCGAGTACCTAACTCCTACTGCACGGCTCTCCAGAACCGCGATGTAAACTGAGTACCTCTGTCCGAAATGATAGAAACTGGAATACCATGCAGACGGACGATCTCCCGGATATAAATCTCCGCCAACCGCTCCGATGAATAAGTGGTACACACAGGAATAAAATGAGCGGACTTGGTCAGCCGGTCCACAATAACCCAAATGGAATCAAACTTCTTCAAGGTCCGTGGAAGTCCAGATACAAAATCCATGGTGATGCGCTCCCATTTCCACTCCGGAATCTCTATCTGCTGGAGCAACCCACCCGGGCGCTGGTGCTCACACTTGGCCTGCTGGCAGTTGAGGCATCTAGACACATAGCCAACTATATCTTTCTTCATCCGCTCCACCAGTAGTGCTGCCTCAGGTCCTGATACATCTTCGCGGCACCCGGATGGATGGAATACCGCGAACTATGGGCCTCTGCTAGGATCATCCCTCGGAGACCATCAACATTGGGCACACAAATCCGGCCCTGCATCCTCAATACTCCATCATCTCCAATGGTCACATCCCTGGCATCTCCATGCTGAACCTTGTCGTTAAGAACAAGTAAATGAGGGTCCTCATACTGCTGCTCCCTGATACGATCAAATAAGGAAGACCGGGAAACCACACAAGCTAGAACCCGACTGGGCTCTGAAAGATCCAATCTCACGAACTGGCTGGCTAAGGCCTGAACATCCATCGCCATAGGCCTCTCTGAAGCTGGTAGATATGCCAAACTCCCCAAACTCTCCGCCCGACGACTCAAGGCATCCGCCACCACATTGGCCTTGCCCGGGTGATACGGGATAGTGATGTCATAATCCTTCAGTAGCTCTAACCACCTCCTCTGACGCATATTGAGATCCTTTTGCTTGAGCAAGTGCTGCGAACTCCGATGATCAGTATAGATCTCGCAAGGCACTCCATATAAATAATGACGCTAGATCTTCAAGGCATGAATAATGGCAGCTAACTCAAGGTCATGGACAGGGTAATTCTTTTCATGTATCTTCAACTGTCTGGACGCATAGGCAATCACCCTACCATCCTGCATCAACACTACTCCAAGGCCAACTCTCGAGGCGTCACAATAGACAGTATAAGACCCCGAACCGGTAGGCAACATCAAGATTGGGGCTGTAGTCAAAGCTGTCTTGAGCTTCTGAAAGCTCGCCTCACACTCCTCTGTCCACTGAAATGGGGCACCCTTCTGGGTTAATCTAGTCATAGGGGCAGCAATCGATGAAAATCCCTCCACGAAACGACGGTAGTAACCCGCCAAGCCAAGGAAACTGCGAATCTGTGTAGTTGAGGACGGCCTAGGCCAACTCTGCACGGCCTCTACCTTCCTCGGATCCACCCGAATACCCTCACTAGAAATCACATGGCCTAAGAATGCCACAGAACTCAGCCAAAACTCACATTTTGAGAACTTTGCATATAACTTCTTCTCCCTCAAGGTCTGAAGCACGGTCCTCAGGTGCTGTTCATGATCTTCCCGACTCCGGGAATACACCAGAATATCATCAATAAAAACAATCACGAACGAGTCAAGATATGGCCTGAACACACTGTGCATCAAATGCATGAAAGCTGCAGGGGCATTGGTCAGCCCAAATGACATGACAAGGAACTCGTAATGGCCATATCGAGTACTGAAGGAAGTCTTCGGGATATCTGGCTCCCGAATCTTCAACTGATGGTAACCTGAGCTCAAGTCAATCTTAGAAAACACCTGTGCGCCCTGAAGCTGGTCAAATAGATCATCTATACGAGGCAAAGGATAATGGTTCTTCACCGTAACCTTGTTCAACTGGCGGTAGTCAATACACATGCGCATAGAACCATCATTTTTCTTCACAAACAAAATAGGAGCACCCCACGGTGAAACACTGGGTCGAATAAAACCCTTACCAAGCAATTCCTGCAACTGATCCTTTAACTCCTTCAACTCAGGAGGAGCCATACGATACGGAGGAATGGAAATGGGCTGAGTGCCCGGCAACAGATCAATGCCAAAATCAATGTCTCTATCAGGCAGCATGCCCGGAAGATCAGCTGGATATACATCAGGATAATCCCGTACCACTAGAACAGAATCAACAGAAGGGGTATCAACAGTAACATCTCTCACATAAGCCAAATACGCAGCACACCCCTTCTCAACCATGCGCTGAGCTTTAAGAAAAGAGATAACTCTACTGGGAGTGTGATCTAAAGTACCACTCCACTCAACACGGGGGATACCTGGCATAGCCAGCGTCACGGTCTTGGCGTGACAATCAAGAATAGCAAAATGGGGCGACAACCAGTCCATGCCCAGAATAATGTCAAAATCCACCATACCGAGTAACAATAAATCTGCTCTGGTCTCAAAACCACAAATAGTAACCAAACATGACCGATAAACGTGGTCCACAACAAGAGAATCTCCCACAGGAGTAGAAACATAAACGGGGGCACTCAAAGAATCCCGAGGCACACCCAAATGCGGAGCAAAGTAAGAAGACACATAAGAGTAAGTAGAGCCCGGATCGAATAGAACCGATGCCTCTCTGTGACAAACCAATATAATACCTGTAATGACGGAGTCGGAGGCAACAGCCTCAGTGCGAGCAGGAATACAATAATATCTGGCCCGGCCCCTCTCTCGAGGGCGACCTCTATCTCCCCGACCTCCGTCCCTAGCCGGCTGGGCAGGTGGGGTAGCAGCTGGAGCTGTGACCATGGCCTGAGAACTCTGAGGAGCACGCTGTGGCTGAGAAGTCTGTGAAGATGCACCCCTACCAAGTCTGGGGCAGTCCCTAACCATGTGGCGTGTATCACCACACTCGAAACAAGCTCTGGGAGGACGCGGTGGCTGTGACTGACTAGGGCCAGGTCTGCTGGACTGACCTCTGGAAGCACCCCGCGCAGGAGGCGCGCTAGAAACTGGAGGTGCATAATAAGGCTCCTGAGGTGTAGGTGGAGCTGGAGTACTGCCGGCTGCTGGAAGAGCTGAATGTACAGGGCGACCCGAATAACCTCTGCCATAACGACCTGCTGATGGGGTACGGGCACCAGAGTAGTGACCCGACTCTCGAGACCTCTCTCTCTCCTTGCCACTACTCTGGAGCCCCTCAATCCTCCTAGTAATGCTCACTACCTGCTGATAAGGAATGTCCACCTCCAACTCTCGAGCCATGCTAGATCTGATGGGTGGAATAAGACCCTCAATGAACCTGCGAACTCTCTCCCGAACTGTAGCAACCAAAGCCGGTGCATGCCTGGCCAACCTGGTATAACGGATAGCATACTCTGAAACGGTCATAGCACCCTGGCGCAAATGCTCAAACTCTGCGCGCCATGCATCTCTGAGACTCGGGGGAACAAACTCTCTCATAAACATATCCGAGAACTGGGTCCAAGTCAGTGTAGCAGCCTCGACTGGACTGTCTATCTCATAAGTACTCCACCAATCATAGGCGGCTCCCCGAAGCTGAAAAGCAGTGAAAGAAATCCCGCTGGACTCCACTATGCCCATAGTGCGAAGAATACGATGACACTCCTCTAGAAATCCCAAGGCATCGTCTGATGCTAATCCACTGAACACTGGGGGATCATACTTCTTGAACCTCTCAAGTCTCCGCTGCTCGTCCTCTGAAGCAGCTGACCCATCCTTGGGCTGAACTGGCGCTGCAGGCGGTGCCGGAATAATCTCGGGAGCCTGCTCAACCTGCACTCGCTGCTCAGGAGTGCGGACGGCGGGAGTCTGTGCTCCTCCCCCGGCCTGGGATGTGGCTGCAGCAATGGGAAGCAACCCTGCCTGAGCCAAGGTGGTGTACATGCTCGTGAACTGAGCCAAAGTCTCCTGGAGCGTTTGAGTAGTAGTGGCAGTAGTAGGTGTGCCAGGTGCCTGGGCTTCGGCTGGATCTGCTGGTGGTACTTCGGCGGCAGCTCGCGCAGGTGCTCTGGCTGCATCACGTGCGCGTCCTCGACCTCTCCCCCCGCCCCGGCCTCTGGCGGCTGCAGTAGGGGGCGCGGGTGCCTGATCATCTCGAGTAGCACGTGTCCTCACCATCTGTGAGAGAATAGAAGTCAGAAGTTTAGAATTGATGTCCCAAAATATCGCACAACGCGAAATTCAAATGAAATGAAGATTTTTCCTAAACAGTTACATAGCCCCTCGTACATAAGTACAGATGTCTCCGTACCGATCAGCGAGACTCTAATAAACCGGCCTGTGTTCCGTGACTCCTATGAACCTAGAGCTCTGATACCAACTTGTCACGACCCCAGTTCACCCTCCATGAACATGTCGTGATGGCACCTAGTTCCTACAACTAGGTAAGCCTAACAGTGCGGAATAACAAATTAACATTTGCGGAATAATTAATTAAAACTGAACATACGGAAATAACAATTGTATATAAGGCCACTCGGCCTATACAACTCAAAAATATGCGGAAGTCTACAACTAAATCCCAAAACCCGGAAACTCACGGGAAACACAGGCTAATAGAATGTAGTAATCTGCTCTACACTAGAATGTCTAAACAACATGAAAGGAAAGAAATGAATTATCTGCTAAAGCCGGAATAGAGTAGAGACTCCTGGTCTGCGGACGTAGCAGATATACCTCAAGTCTCAGCTAGGACTCTCCACCACGAGGATGATATGCCTAGGATGAGGCCTTGGATCTGCACATGAAAAAAAAACATGCGCAGAAGAGGCGTGAGTACACCACAGCGGTACTCAGTAAGTGCCAAGCCTAACCTCGGTTGGGTAGTGACGAGGAAGGTCAGGGCCCTACTGAGCTAAAACATAATAAATAATGAGATAACAGAAACAGTTTAAATCAAGTCTACAGCGAGAATCTAAACCAGGTAAATAAGGAAGAGCAGTAATAGAAAGCCAAGGTAACAATACACGGAAAACTGCCCTCACAAGGAATAATAGCCGGGGATCTCTTGGTATCCCGAGGATCTCTTGGTATCCTCATCATATACACGGGGGATCTCTTGGTATCCCGAGGATCTCTTGGTATCCTCAATAAGTAAATCGGGGATCTCTTGGTATCCCAATATATATATAGAAACACATGTGTCAGGGATCTCTTGGTATCCCGCACCCTTAGTCCAGAATATCTCAAGTACAGGGGATCTCCCGGGAAGCCGTCACGTAGTCCCAAATTAAACAGACAACAACAACGATTCCTAAATGTCGGAACAATGCTAAAAATCAGGACACGAAGTAGTAAATTATAGCCTAACATGCTTCACAGAGTACAAATAGCACAGTTAAAGCAAATAAGCAGGTAAGCCAGCTAAACATGAGTCTCTAAGCTAGCACAGGTACAAAACTTACAGTTAAAATGAACAAGTAAACAAGAAAGCTCAATTTAAATACTTCAAATAGAAACGGATTTACAAAAATTAGCTCAAGTACGCGCTCGTCACCTCACGTACGGGGCATTCAAATATTCAAGAACATATCCTAAGGG